AATCTTGCTGCAAATCATTGTGGTAGTTTGACACTCAGGGTGAGACAGAGCTGGTAGGTGAGCGTGCATAATTCTAGGGCAGGTTTTGTGACCCAAGTCTTTGGGCAAAAAGCAAAGCCTGGTACCTAAAAAGCTTTTGGATGAAATTTCTGTATAGTTTCTCCTGTATAAGTGATATAGTCTCATAGCCGTATATATTTGTTTCCATGTTTCCTTCATTACAGACTTCTTAACCTGTGTCTCCCCCTCAATGTGGGAGGATGAATTTTCTCAGTGTTGCTTATGGCTCTTCTCTTACTCCTAGGTGGAACGTGGCTCTACGTGTGCTGTCTTCGGTTTAGGAGGAGTTGGCCTGGCAGTTATTATGGGCTGTAAAATAGCAGGAGCGTCCCGCATCATCGGCATTGACCTCAACAAGGATAAGTATGCCAAAGCCAAAGAGTTTGGGGCTACTGAGTGCATTAGCCCTCAAGACTTCAAGAAGCCCATACAGGAGGTGCTGGTTGAGATGACCGATGGTGGTGTGGACTACTCATTTGAGTGCATCGGTAACGTTGGAGTCATGGTGAGCGTTTGCCCAACAGGAGTAGGTAGAGGGGGTAGCCAGCTGCCACTTAGCAGCTCATTTCCCTATTTTGCTGAACTACTTTCTTGTTTCAGAAAACACACCATAGTAATTTATTTATTTGTAAACAGTAAATGAGAACTGCTGTGACTAAAAAGGTCAATTTCCATCCAGTCCTAATTATGTAATGAAAGCAGATGCTCCTTCCTACGTTGAAAATGGCACTTATATTTTACAAACTTTGTTCCTTACTGGGAGTTCTTTGAAATTGCAAGTTTTCGTATGTTGACAGTTGAAAAATTAACAAAACCCACATAAAAGATATTCTGCAATGAAGAGTGAAATTTCAAGGACCGCTCAGTATTTCCCTAATTCCTCAAATAATGAACTTAACCTTTGGAAATGCAAAAGTATTACTGAATGTAAGGCTAGGTTTTCAGGAATTACAGTAGCATTCCTAACTGTCAGTAACATGGTCTACATAGGCTCTGATTACAGTTAATCCCAACTCCCAGTGGTAGTTCAGAGTGACTTCTCTGGAAGCCAGATGGGATATAAAAAGAGCCGTGAAATCTGTAACAGTGTAAGGAGTCTGAACCAATGGGAAGTTTATCGTATTTTTCAGTGTATCTATTGTTCCTTAAATACTAATGTGGCGATTCGTTAACTGGGGGAAAGCAAGTGCAACCTGCGCCAGTTTAGGCAGCACAAAAATTGGCAATTAACGCTCTGCTTTGTCCTATCCCATCTGTGAAGAGGGCCGCCTTGGAAGCCTGCCACAAAGGCTGGGGAGTCAGTGTGATAGTTGGAGTAGCTGCTGCTGGTCAGGAGATCTCCACACGGCCATTCCAGCTCGTAACCGGGCGGACATGGAAAGGGACGGCGTTTGGAGGTAATTCTTTTTTGGTGTGGGGTTAAAAATCATTTACTATGGGTAAGGGCGGGAAGAACACGCCACCTTGTTTTTGCTTGTGCAAGAAATGTACTACTGACAAGCTGTTCATAACTGCTGTGCTGACTTTTAAGATAAAGACTTTTAAAATTGGATATTCCTGCAGACCGGCTACAAATAAGCACGTCGGTGTGATACCTCACATATTGTGAAGAGAGAATATAACTATATGTGATTCAGTTGCATGTAGTTCACATTCAGTTCCTAGAGCAGGAGGGACAAATGTGTCACTATCTCAGTTCTTTTTTGTATTTATCACATAAGTGCCCACGTAAGGGTTGGTTTGGTTTTTTTTTTTCTTCTTTCTCTCCATTTTCCAAGGTAGGTGGAAAGAGGAAAAACAAATTCCTGCTTTCTGTCTTTCAGGCTGGAAGAGCGTAGACAATGTACCGAAACTGGTGACTGAGTACATGTCCAAAAAGATCAAGGTTGATGAATTCGTGACTCACACCCTGCCTTTTGACAAAATTAATGAGGCATTCGAGCTGATGCATACAGGAAAGAGGTAATGTTCGTAAAACTGAAAGGTATAGAAGACAGTTTTTGATGAGACACTGTCAAAATATAGGTTCCCTGCTCACTGCCATGTTTTAAACAGGGAGGATAAAGGCTGACATACCACGCGCAGTCATTCCAAGATAAACAAATAACATTTTCTTCAAGCTTCTAGGCATGTGCCAAAACACAGTCAAAGAGTAAAAAGCCAGCAACAATGTGTAAGGGAAATAACACAAGTATGTAAAGGTGATAAAGGGGACAAGTCAGGGTTCCAGCATTGCTGGTGAGGCCCAACTTCACCGCATGTTGAGATGACCCTACTTGCTGGTAAAACCCTGCTGGATGTGGAATGAACGTTGCTGCCCTTACAACAGTACACTTTGCAAGTCAAGATCAACTTGCAAGAGCACTGCAAAGTTGGGTGTTCTTACCAGAGGATGTTCTGAGTGATCTTTGTAAAGCTCTGTACAGATACGGGCACGGATGTGCCTGAGGGAAAATGGGGACCAGCATGGGGATGCTGTGGCGCAGAACTTGTATCTGCAAGTTAACATCTCACGCAGAGAAAGGGAAAGGATTAGACTATTTTAGCCTGAGGTGTGTTAAAGCTCGTCCTGCTATGCCTTTTCAAGAACAGGCCTCTTTCAAATGAGAGTTTTAATAAGATGCTTTGTAATTTCTTGGAAATTCAGAGACTTAATGAGATAGCTACCAGTACCTCTAAGAGTAGAAACCAGCTTATTAGCAGTCTAGGTCATCTTCTTTTTAAGAACATATTTTGAATGAAGGGAAGAATCAGCAGGGGGATAAGAGGAAAAACTGGAGAGCTGTCCTAGTGAAAAATAAGATCTTTTCCTGCATGTTTGCACTAATGCAGGAAACTGTTTATCCATATTTAGGTTTATCTGCAAACGGATAAATAGTTACCAGCGTTACCTCAAGAAATCAGCGTGGTCTTTGTATTTGATATCAGTCCATATTGATGGACTTACTTTCTCAAAAGTAGTAACTATCTGCTTTATCTCATGTGTATTCCTATTTTGGCTAAGTCAGTTAGCAGTAACTGCATTATTACTTCTTACAATTGGAAATAATGCATCATGCAAATTTCACTCAGCAGTTGATCCGAGGGGGATAAGAGGAAAAACTGGAGAGCTGTCCTAGTGAAAAATAAGATCTTTTCCTGCATGTTTGCACTAATGCAGGAAACTGTTTATCCATATTTAGGTTTATCTGCAAACGGATAAATAGTTACCAGCGTTACCTCAAGAAATCAGCGTGGTCTTTGTATTTGATATCAGTCCATATTGATGGACTTACTTTCTCAAAAGTAGTAACTATCTGCTTTATCTCATGTGTATTCCTATTTTGGCTAAGTCAGTCAGCAGTAACTGCATTTGTACTTCTTACAATTGGAAATGCTGCATCTATGCAAATTTCACTCAGCAGTTGATCCACTTTCCCAGTTACAAACTTCTGTATCGTTTCAGTGCTTTACTCCTACATGAGCATGTCCTATGAAACTAATAATGAAAGTTACTTAAAATTCTCCAAGCAGCCAAAAGAGGGAATGCCTGTAAATGTTAATGTTCCTGATCAATATTCTTAGCTATCTACCGAAAACTGATACTCGGGTAGTTTGAAAATGCTTCCATTTTGAGTATATCTTATTGGGGGAGAGACTAAAAGAAACCACAGATACCAAGCATTACTAACCCATTTTAACTGGGATTTTTAATGAATACTATAGGCATAAGCATAACTTCATTCTCACAAGAGATAGAAGTTAAGTTACATTATGTCTCGGCAGTGAAAGGGAGGGGAGAGAAGGGGAGAAAATGGACTCTCACTCAGCAGTTGATCCACTTTCCCAGTTACAAACTTCTGTATCGTTTCAGTGCTTTACTCCTACATGAGCATGTCCTATGAAACTAATAATGAAAGTTACTTAAAATTCTCCAAGCAGCCAAAAGAGGGAATGCCTGTAAATGTTAATGTTCCTGATCAATATTCTTAGCTATCTACCGAAAACTGATACTCGGGTAGTTTGAAAATGCTTCCATTTTGAGTATATCTTATTGGGGGAGAGACTAAAAGAAACCACAGATAACAAGCATTACTAACCCATTTTAACCAGACTCAGAGGTAACTCTTTTTTTTTCTTTTCTTTTTCTCTTCCATTTTAAGCATTCGAACTGTCCTGAAGCTGTAGAGCCAAATGTGGACCTTCCAGTTGACCAGCAACATAGTGACTGTCCTTTTATAATGGAATCTCTGATAGAGGGTAGAATCAAGCAAATGAAAACTCACTGGGACTAGCAAGATAATGTACTTTAGGGTGAGCATTCTGAATATTAAATAACAAAAAAATCTGTAACCACTGAATAGCGCTATACAATTAGCACTGGTTGTGGAACTTCTATTTCTGTACTTGTTCTTCAAATTCAATAGTGCCTAATTCAATTAATCTACTTAATAAAAGCTTATTTCTAAACACAGTGTTGGAATTATTGAGCATTAAGAGTGGGACTACGATTGCTGTGTCTTGCTGTTTTCCTCTAGTGCTTTCTCAGTATGTGTATATGTGACAGAGGAAGAGCATTCTTCAGAGGCAATAGCAAAAACTGTGGGATTCATTACACTGGGGAGTTTGCTAAGCACAGCTGGGTGGAGAAGCAGCATTGATGTGTTGTAACTGTACTGAGAGAGGGGCAAGAATTCCAACAGCTGTCAAGCTTCTTGAGGCTACCCTAGGACTACAAAGGATGTACCATCCAGCTCTGCTCCTTGAACCCAACTGTGGCTGGATGTACAACCTCAGTATCTAGGTGTACTGTGTTCACTTGGGAACACAGAAAAGCTACCCAGTTGAAGAAAAGTTATATACATAACAAGTCAGTGCTTTTCAGTAACTGAAGATACTAATTAAGACAGAAGTTTCACATTTTAAGTGACCCTGGTCAAAACAACTGTTAGAGAGAATGCTGAATGCAAACAGTAATTTTATTAAAAGAAATTTCCTCTCACCACTAACAACTGCCTTACCCCAAGACACTGCTGTACAACTGAGACAATTACATCTTGTCCATTTGTCATTGGAAAGATATCCCTAGAGCATTCTGAAAATAGCTGAGGTAGCTGCATTTCTAACTGCATTGCAGACAGAGTAAACAACAAAGTTAAATCCTGTGAATGTCATGAGAATTCAATTGTGAGCATCCAGAAGAAATATAAAGTTAATTTGTACCAGGAAAAAGAGCCCTCCAACAAAGTAGTGAAGTACCTTGTAGCTCCAGAAGTGCTGGCTGAACATTAGAGAATTCAGTAGAAAACTTGCTGTCAAGCTGTTCCAGCAAGAGCATTCTGTAACTACAAGATGGTTTCAATAGAATCTTAGCTCAACATCTTAGCAAAACTACCCCCCAGCTGGACGTAACAGATTTTAAATATTTATAGTATAACAGTTGTTCCTCTAGGCTGCACAGACTACATCAAGACGGTACAATTATGTTGTCTGCATTACATTATTACTTTAAAGAATCTGCATCTTAGAGTGTGTGTGGAAAGGTAGTCTTGTAATACCAGGGTAACTCAACAATAAAGATATTTAGTGATACCAGAGCACTCAGGTCAAAGACCTGCAGCTTCTCCCCAGCCTGAAGAATTGCTGTCCTGCTATTACTTAGCAGAGTTTTCAGGCTATTTTGTCCTGCAAAGCAGTGGATTGAATGAAGCATGTTTGAAGTAATGTCTTTGAAGCTGCTCAGCTAATAAAAGGACTCATGAACACAAGAGCCTGGACCCCATTCTCGGTGATCAAGGTACTGTATTGAACGGTACTATTTTCGCAACTCTAAGGACTTCAGTAGATAAAAAGTTTCCACCAAATGACTGCAGGTAAAATGTGTGTGTACTCTGCTGGCTGTCATGTAAAAGATGCAGCTTGTCCCCTCTCCTCATGCTGTCAGCCCTTATTCAACATTAGCTATCAAATCTTCTCTGCTTAAATATTCATGTAAATTTGCAGAAACAGCATGAAGAGTTTCCACACTCTCTTATGTGATAGTAAAGAGAAAATACTTTAAGAGATTGTTTCACAACTAATTGCAGGGTTGTGTTTTTGGCAAACATGTATACAATTTCTAAAAATTTTGCTAGAAAGTAGACTTAAGTTGGTGGGGGTTTTTGGTTTTGTTTTTTTTTTTTTTCATTATTTTTTAAGTGGACAGCAACTTCTCTAAGAATCAAAACTAGATTATATCCAAAATCCAGTCAGCACAAGTCTAGTATGTCATGTTGAAGCAAAGTTAGAGCTAGATAGGTGAAAAAATAGCCTTCCACAGTATTTTTCTTAATTAAGTTCTGCTTTTCAGGCTGATGTGCTATCTCATGTTGAAAGAAGAGTGTAGATGCTGACTAAGCTTTCCACTTGTTTAAAAGTACTGTAGTAGTATGAATTCAGTATAAGCAGTTTTCATGCTGTGATTTCAATTTATAGGCAGAAATGCATAGTATCATACATTACCTATATTAAAAACATGCAGTGTTAAATTTGGTTGTATTAGTGCAATGACAAAGAGGTATTCAAGTGGCACATGTGCAGGTTTAAGGGTGATTTTAACTGGTTGCATGCATCAACCAGTAGGGCTTGCACTAGTGCAAACAAACCTGGATATAATTGAGAATGCTACGTCTGGTTTTGGATCACAAAAATAAATGTTATTTCTGTTAAAAGCAGCCGCAACTTTTATTTTATAAGACCAAAAATGAAGCTCCCCCCACCCACCCCCCATCATACACACATATATAGAAAAGGCAAGACTGTTGTAACCATTCAAGTGAATGATATGGTGGGCAAACCTCCAGGACAGTCATCTCCTCAATACGTTACATCTCACTCACCACAGGTAACTCCACTCAAGTACTACAGTCTGGTTTGTTAAAATCTATACACACACACACACAAGCATCTGCTCGCTCGCACGCACGCACCCTCTATATGCATCATCTCAGGTCACTTTACTGCATAATTAAAATTAACAATAAAGGTAATGAAAACATCGCAATGATACTCTTACAGCAACAGAGGTCTGAGGCACTCAGGGCAGAGAAGACTTTTCTGGCAAATTTGGTATTTGGTACTACACACGAGTCCAGTTCTATGAAGTGCTGACCCCTTTCCCCCACCTAAATTCTGCAGTGCCAAGGGGAGCCGAGGGTACGCAGCACCTCACGCGCTTGGGTCTAGTGTGGCAACAAATTCACCAGGCACCTTGGAAAAGGTGTATTTTATACCCATGATTGTATGATTTTATGTCTGTATTCGTTTAGCTATTTCTTGCATTACAGTGGTGTAAGACTTAAGTCTGCAATGGGGTCTGAAACTATTTTCGTTACAATTCAGAAGAAAAAAAATTAAATTCCCTCAGCGGAGACACCAAAGATAATGGAAAGGAAGTGGGCACGGAAAAGAAAGGGTAGAGAGAAGAGAGCTTAACCAATCCTCACTCCTGAACGTGACAGTTTCCAGCTCGTTGTGACCCATTAACAGAAATGAAGGGGTATAGATACTAACATTGCCCACCCTATACCCAATCTGAGGAAAAACCATCAGTTTTCATAGCTGCCCCCCTAAAACTTTCCAAAAGCGTGAAACACTTAACTTGGGGAGGGGGGGAGAAAATGACCCGTTTAAAAATTTCCGAAAGAAAATGAACACAGCATTGAAGGTGTTTCATTTTCTCACACTCAGACTTGTTTTGAGATATACACTCATTTCACTGTAAGCCTTGCAAATCCAATCCCCCCACAGCTACTGTGGATGTACCCTTAGAAAACGCCCCCCGTTAACAGACGCAGGGATCCCATGAAGCACGGGATCTTTTTGGTTCTCGTTTCATTCCTTTACCCAGGCAAAGCTTCACCCAGCTTTTGGAGCAGGAGACTGCCTTGCAAATAACCGCTTCACCCAGAAGCAGCTTATTCCAGGGAGCTGCATATTAAGTCAGAATTTATTCATTTTCCCTGTTAGGAAGCCCAAACTATCAATTCTCCAGGGAGAGAAACAAGTCCTGCCATTTACACAGTGTGTCACCTACAGTCGCAATCACCACAGAAGCCACCAGCAGAGAGATGGGGACAGAATTAAAGGTAAGGGCAGCCTCTTCTCGGCGCCGCGCGTGTCTTTCTCCCTTCTGCCCCCTTCTCAACCCATAAAACAAACAAGGCCCAGCCCATTAGAACAGTATCTGCAGAAGCAGGAGCAAGTCTTTGGAACTAGAAATGCTTAAAATCTCAGGTGCCACCCACATACCAAGAGTGACAGGGCACACTGAAGTGGTGAAAAAAAAAAAACCTGGAATCCCAATATATCAAAGTCCCAGTGGGGAAAGATTACCCCCACTTATCTAGCTAATATTATGGCAGCAACAGAAGCAATTGTGGGGCTAATTGGAAGAAAGGTGCTAAAGAGATAACTGAGGAAAAAAGAAAAATATAGCATGAGTGCTAGGAGGAGGAAAGCAGGAAATTCTTTAAATTCTTCTCTGCTTTTCCAGACATTGGTTCAGGTTCTTCAAGATACTCCTCTTATCTACAATCACTGAGAACAAAGTAAATGATGAACTCTCTCTATTCTGTACTTTTAAAAAACTGCATAGTACAGAGGGAAAAAAAAAAAAACCAACCCAAACATATGTATCATTCAGATCCACCTGCTCAGTCTGGGCTATCACTGGGACATGAAATGGGGACGAGTGCTATCCAGCCGCCGGGTCAAGATCTCACAGCCTGTATCGGTGACCAGAAGCGTGTGTTCAAACTGGGCAGATCTCTTTCCATCTCTTGTAACTGCAGTCCAACCATCAGGCCACGTTTCATCTTGCCAACCACCTAAAAAAAAAAAAATTATGACATTTTTGACTGTTTTTATGTAACAGATACCAGTTCCCCAATGAGAAATGAAAAATCTATCAACTATACAGAATAGAACCGGCATCCTGTTCCATCACTACTTAACAGTAAGCAAGAGTAGGGCTACAAAGATGATGAGGGGCCTGGAGCATCTCTCTTACAAAGACAGGCTGAGGAACTTGGGTCTTTTTAGTCTGGAGAAGAGAAGGCTGAGGGGGGGATCTGATTAATGCTTATAAACACTTGAAGAGAGGGTGTCAAGAGGACAGGGCTGGTCTTTTTTTCAGTGGTGCCCAGTGACAGGACAAGAGAAAATGGGCACAAACTTGAATATAGGAAGTTCCACCTAAACGCAAGGAGAAACTTCTTTACTTTGAGGGTGGCAGAGCACTGGAATAAGCTGCCCAGGGAGCTGGTGGAGTCTCCTTCTCTGGAGATATTCAAAACCCATTTGGATATGTTCCTGTGCAACCTGCTCTAGAGGGACCTTCTCTGGCAGGTGGGTTGGACTAGATGATCTCCAGAGGTCCCTTCCAACCCCATGTGATTCTGTGATTTTACTCTACTGCTAAATTGCTCACCTTCACAGATCATTGGTTCAATTGTAAATACATGACCAGGCTTCATAACTCCAACTGCCTTATTTTCTGCAATGAAATAAACACTCAAGTTAGAAAAAGTGATCCCATCTTAGTAAATGAATGAATCCTTGTCCTAGAAGAACACAGTAGGAATACCATAAAGTCAGAAAAGCCTTTCAGAGATGACCTGTTCATTTGTCCATTTTTAATTCTACATTAAGATTTCCCTTAGTTCTTTTCTTCTCTGCCTCCAATACTGCAATATTTACTCAAGGAGCTTGAAATTAGTCGCCATCTTTCTCTCCAGCAACTGGAGTTCAACTCCAGCTCTACAAAAACACTGACCAAATGTAACACAGAAATTTCTGCAGACTTCTATGATGTAGAACATCATTAGAAAAAGATCAATGAAAATAAAAAGCCCTTAAGATACTCAGGGAAGGCTTGAAATCTCTTAATTTGTTTCCACTGAACTGCTGGCTCCTATAAATTGTCAAAATATGATAGTGAGCCCTTAAGATACTCAGGGAAGGCTTGAAACCTCTAATTTGTTTCCACTGAACTGCTGGCTCCCATAAATTGTCAAAATAAGCTAGTAGTTAAGTAATCCCATGATTTTATTTCTGAAAGACACATTGCCCCCCTCATTACTTTAGATAACGGGGCCATAGGAGCGTCAGGGTGCTAATGCTGTATTTTTTTAGCTAACATAAAAAGGCAGAAAATTTCAAGGCACCCAGGACAATAATATTGGAACTTTTTGATGCTATATACACCAAAAATGTTTATATGGAGGCATATGAATTGATGCACAGCACGGCTCCAGGACTGTAGTTCGACTGAAGAAAGGCTTCAGCCCTTTTCCTCCACCCTTTTTTTCACTGTTGATGGCCACACAGCTTAGACGTGACTCAGCCCAGCACATGAGAGCTGGGACAAACTCAGTACTGCACAGGAACTGTTAGCTCCCACCTACTTTGCTGCTGTAGACAACTTGCATCAATTCTTACAGAGTCCCCATCCCCTGGTCTACTTTTAATTATGTACATTTATTAAATTGTCTAAATCACCTGGATGCTTTAAAAATCTTAGACATCAAGGTGACACAACAGCAGTCAGAACATTCTTCTACTTGAAAGGTCTCCACCATCTGCTGCTATTTCTTGCTCTCAACACATCTAAGTTTCTGGTCTTCTTGCACCTGAACAAATTCTGTCCTTTATTCCCTGTAGTTTTCATGATTTTGCTAAATAATTTAAAGGCTTATAAAATGAGCTTTCTGCTTTTAAAAATTCCTTCAGAGTAAGCCAGAAATAAGCAGCAGCCTTCGTTTTTTTTTCCTCCAAGAGGCTTTAAGTCCCTCAGGTCTTTCCACTTTGCTTTTGCTGCAAATCTGTACTTAAAAATACCAGAAAAAAACCCCCTTCATTTTTGGGCACAGACATTTTGGCTCAATTAAAAGAAAAGAAAGAAAAAAAAATGTTCCTAACAGCCAGGAAAGAGAGAAATCTCCTTTTTCTTGGATTGCACTTTAATTGGTATAAAGTGCCCTCCACCTCCAAAGAATCCAGATTTTCTTCATTTTACATAACAAAAAGTAAATACCAGGAACTGATAATCTTCTACCCTATGATTAATAGATTTTCTCTGTTCTCTGAAAAAATAACTTAGCAAAATGACAACATGAAAAGTCAGGGATTGGTAGATTATAATCTATAACCTGAGTTAAAGCTCATTAGGAGATAGGAAGAAGGAGGCATCTGTCAGGTCTAAGGAAATATATGTCCTATCAGAAGCTTTGCAGCCAAAGTCGGTGTGAACTGTTTATCACTGATATTCATGATATTTATTCTACCCTTAGCTGTCCACTGGCACTTCATCTTCTCTCCTTTACCTCTATGGATCCTGTTTCTTAGTCCTGCTGGCAAAAACTGTCACTAGGACGTTGCCATTTCCAAAAACTAAAGCTAAGAATCTGCTGGGTTAAAGGTCGTTCCTCATCTGCCACACATGACAAAGAAGTTTAGAGGAGCACCAAATCACAACACTCAAATGAAGTGAAACATAACAGGATCCAGATTCAGCTACAACACCCATCTATACCATTCAATAAGATCTGGAAATGGCAGTAAGTTTTTTATTAGACCTTCTAAGGATAGAAACACTAGCCCATTCATGTCAGACCAGGACGTCTAAGGGATTAGTTGGGAATTCATACAAAAACATTGAGCACTTCACCCAGTACAGATGAGAGCTAACACTAAGCATTAGCGTAGGCGCAGACTGTCTCAGTATATAATATATTCACCTTATTTAGGTTCATAAAACATGCTACGGTCCAGAGTTTAGAAAAAAAATTATTTCACAAGTGTAAAAATGCTAACATGAAGGCTGTCAGGCAACATCCTACTTTATTAAAATATAAGCAAGAAGCAAATTGAGTGCATTCATTGCAGACCACAGGACAACCCAAACGGAATAAATACTCACTGGCATAATGTGGCACATTAGGGGCTGTGTGGAAAAGTTTATGGATTCCATGCCCACAGTAGCTCCGAACCACTGAAAATCCATTTGCTTGAGCATGTTTCTGAATAATGTTTCCCAGTTCTCTGTACCGAACACCAGGTTTTACTGCAAAATTCAAGAGATACAGATGGAAATTTATAAAGCTTTCTTTCCACATAACTAACCATCAAACACCATTCAGGCTAATATCTTTGTAGTGCTCATGGCTTTTATGGCCATCTCTTCTAGTGTGCAACTTCCTATGATCAATTAATCCACCAAGGATGTAAGTGAGTGCAATAACATGAGAGAGAGAGAAAAGTTTCATATGAAAGAGAAAATGAGAGAGAAAGAAGAAAAATCGTTCTTTACAAGAACACTGTCTTCCTTTCATGGATGTAAGTGCTCATATTAAAAGGACGTTGAAGTTTGAAATTAAAGACAAGAAAAGACTTTCAAAGTATGTGGTAACTCCTCATACCCAGAGTTGCAGTGCTTCTTTCAATGAATGTATGAACTATATTTTAATATACAGTTACCTCTCTACTACGTGAAAAGTGCACACAAATAGAGGAAAAATGATTATACATGAAGGACAAAGAAGCAGGGGAGAGAGACAAAATGGGTATCTCTACTCTTAGACAAGATTTTTAGTGGCAAGACTACAGCAAATAAGAATGTTCATATGCTGGACTAACTTTTTTGACAATCCTTTTACAAAACTTTAAAGAGTTTGAAACAGATGAAAATGGAGTGAAAAATTCACCGTCAGCACTTGGACAAGGGAGTATAATACCATAAAAGCAACAATGTCTCATCTACTAGCTAATGAAGATGCATACCAAAAACAACCTTCAGCCACTAAAAAGAATGCAAATGTTATTTCAAGATCATTCATGACTCCCTGAATATATGCTATTCCTTCAGGAGTCAGATGTGACGTGGTTATGTGGAGCCATCTTAAGCAGAGTTCATGGATACAGCTAAAACTTTACATGAAGCAAGCCATTTAGTTCAATTCTCTGCTAATGTAAACAACTACAACTTAATTCAGTAAGATGAATTTATAGAAAATAACAAGATAATTAGATTACTGGAACGTGCATGCTTTTCCCAAAATACAAAAAAAGAAAAGAAAAAGACATGGTGGGGAAGAGAAGAAAAGTTAATCTGTGTTTTGTGCTAAATAGTTGTAAAGTACTACCATCTCCTTGGGGCCTGACAATACCAAGCAACTCATCTCCATGCAGCAAGGAGCCCTCTGCTTCCTTCTCTCACACAACTCTACTAGTTAGAGCTCTGCTGGTCCAATGCCAAGAAATTAAAATGATTTAAACAGGGGAGAGGTGACCCTTTTTAGCAGCTAAGACATTTGCTCCCAGAATTCCTACTAGCAGGGAATAAAACCCATTAAAACCTGTTAGAACATCTAAAAAGTTGGTAAAGAAAACTCAAAACTTTAAAGAGTTTGAAACAGATGAAAATGGAGTGAAAAATTCACCGTCAGCACTTGGACAAGGGAGTATAATACCATAAAAACAAAAATGTCTCAGCCAACTCCCAGAATGCCTACTAGCAGGGAGTAAAACCCATTAAAACCTGTTAAAGCATCTAAAAAGTTGGTAAAGAAAACTTACACTGAGAATGTAAATCTCATTAGAATGAACACAAAGGTGAATTTCAGTCATAGTTTATACATCAAAGTCAGGATATGAAAGTTAAGAGACAACATACATAACATTTGCTATAAAAATAAAGTACAGGAGCAAAGATAAACACTATTCTGATTTAGCTCTGAAAATCAAAGTGGTCATTTCAGAATAGCAATCCCACATAAATTGGTAATGTATATTCTTCACAGCTTAACTCTGCAGCATTTTCTTGATCAACACAATGGTTAAGCAAGACATTGCTCATAAGGATTTTTGTTTTTTCAGCTTGGCTAGATATCTCCAAATTATGAATCAAAGTAAGTTTTTTTTTAAAAAAACTTTTTATTAAATCCAAGTTTAAACCCTTTATATATAGCACCTTAAACTTCAGTCCTTAGAGTCCCCGAAGTGGGTAAATTTTATTGGGGATTCTAAGAAGCTGCAGAATATAAAAGATACAGACAATACAAATATTTCCAGGGCCTTGGGAAATTTTTGTTTTGGTTTCTCTGTTTGTCTAAGAGAACTCAGTATATTCCTTTGTGAATGAAGCGGAACATGACATTCTCTAGCTCTCTATCTCATGCTATGTTTCAATGAAGCTGTCCTGAGTTACACCTAAGCAAAATAATTAAAGTTCTGTGGGTACCGAGGGATATGGATCTGACTTCTCTGGAACACTCCCACAGTTGAAAAACAAGAGCTCATTATTAGCTTTATGAAATAACCATCAGGTACGGCAGAGGTAAAGAGATATGTTTAAGTGTTCAAACAGTGTTTTGCCCTACCAGCTCATTGTGCAACACCATGCAAATTATAAAAGTAGGAAGACATACTTTGGTTTTCCAAAATGCACTTGGTTCTTCACATTCTTTAAACTACTCAGATCAAGGATTCATCTAACTAATGTCTGAAAAGGCTGTTTCCATGTAAATATGTGGATCAGCTCAGCATCAACTACATTTTCCTTGTCAACCCATAGTTCAAACAAAAGTTGCAACCACCGCCCACAGAACTGTGCCATTTGAAGAACCACTGTTATATACAATATATACATCATCCATTGGTGACACACACTAACATTATCTGTGTTCTGCATCAGAAGTCACTCTGGGGTAATAGCAAATACAAGCGCTCAAGTTGGAGAACCAAAACCATAATGCTTTAGGCCCCAGCCACAGGTTTTACCTGCATCGATGGCTTGCATTAGGCACTCGTAAGTTGTTTGGACAAGCCTCCTTGCACCCTCGTCAACTTCTCCAACATAAAATGTCTCGTTCAGATCTCCATGGTAGCCATTACGATAGACGGTAATATCCACTGCAAAAAATGCCAGACATATTGTAAGATTAGCACGGTATTTCTCACTTCTTGTCTCTTCATTTGTGAAAGGACAACAAATACATGTGATAATGTAGTATTGTAATCGTGACGTTATTACTTTGGAAGAATCCCAGACGTAGACCTTTCCAGCAGAATCAGTTCTCTTATGCTTCTCCTATAGATTCTATAGAATTAATTAATATAGTGTTTCACAGGTCAACAGTTTGATTTAATGAAAAAAAAAAAAAGATTGGTTTTCTAGGTAACTATAAAAACAGGAAAATGAAGCTCCATGCTCCATGGTGATTTACCTGGTTAAAATATTTTTTTAAAATTAATTCCAGCACTAATAGGGGGGAAATTAAATTTAAAAAGGTATGTAATCATGTTTTAACCCATATTTTAACTTCAGTAATTTCTATACATGGTTAGAATACTAAGTCACACAGTAATGCCAGAACACCCATTGCTTCCAGCCCAAAAGATAAAATTGAACATTAAATACACAGCAACTTTCCAACAGTATTCCTGACTAAGATAAATACACCAAATGACTTAAAACTTTTTCTTTTTTCTTTCAAATGAAAGAATTTAAACATTCAGTATCAGGCAAACAGCAAGAATGAGAAGCCATGCGTAAACTGCTAAGGGTTAGAAGAACATCTAAGAGATTAGAATTATGTTGCACCAAAACTCTTAACTTGTTTGCTCTGTGCATAAAGTTGTTTGTTAATTAAAAGTGATACAACTCATTCTTGAAAAATAGCACCAGAAGGAGTTTCAATGAGAAAAAAATAAAATCCTTTTTTTTTTTTAGTTTAACTCATTCCAAAATGAGATATGTATTTTTGGATTAAGAACATGCATAGAAGATGCTTGTTGCAAATAATCATTTTCCAAAATGTGGGAACAGGCCTACCATCTTAGACATAGCTGTCATCTATTCTAGTATCCTGTCTCTCATAGCAGACAAGTAAAAAATTAAAATCTGCCATCATATAGTCAATATATGTAGTAAACACATGCAAAATACTCTAGATTTGCATATCAAGGTGACTTCTTGTGGTAAAATGGGTACTTCTGCGTTTAACAGACTTTGTCAGTAGTCTGGTGGGTCTAATAGCTGCTAGAGTACCAAAACCACTAAAATAGTTATTGAACTGCTATTCATGAAGAAATCCACACACAGACGCCCTCACACGTAAATATACATGATGGGAACCATACTGAGCAATAATACTTTAGGACTATGGTACATGAGCCACTTTCTTGACAGGAAAACGTGGGGAAAAAACCACTGGTGTCAACAGTAAACTTGTACTGCTGGCAAACATTTAAGAATTAAATTAACATTGCATGAAAACAATCCTGGCTGTTGTGGATGCAGGCGTGTGCGGGGTTACACTATGCTCACTGCTCATTGCAGGGGGCTACTGGAATATTCTGACCAGTGTACAGATTTAGTAACGTAACAACGGGACTGTATAGAAACCAGCACCCTGGTAACTCACCCAAATAAGCTTCTTGTGACCTGTGTATCAGAGCTCCTTAGCAGCATCCAGACTACCTGCTGCAAAGAGGCTATCTCTATAGGCCACATATCTACAAGACTTTCTCTAGATGCTGCCAGATTTGGCCAGAACATCTCACTTTGCAAAGAGATCAACTTTCTTTAAGAATCTGCTCCCAGAGAACAGTATGATAACAAAAAGCTATGATGCCCTGCTCGGAGCAAGGCATTGGACTAGACATCACCTGCCAGTACCTTCTGGATGATGTTTTCCTGTGATTCTAAAAACCTGGTTTGGACTCTTGACTTAGTCACCTTTTGCTTCTAGCAGGCTAAAAAGTTTTAAATAAAGAGGGAGATAGAAAAAGTGCTTTGGAGGGGATGTGCCTAACTCCTGCTTTGTACCTTGTTTTGTTCTTCGTTTTACAGAGGCTTTTAAGCCACAAAAGAATAAACTAGTTATTCCTCATCAAAACAAAGCAAAAGGCTTAAGGCTTGGGCAAGTGCAGTCAGGGCAAGGATGTGAATAAAGGTATGACTAAACCCTCTTATAAAAGGTATTTTCTAGCACTGAGGTACAGCCTTGGCATGCAAATAGAGGAGAAGGCACTGTGCAGATGAAGACAAACTAGTAATGTTAATCGGGCTTCTTAGCTTGGACTCCAGCAATGCCAGAAAAGCTGGCAACAATGGAGAGCTGTACAAAAACATCATCTTTGAAATTAAAAAAAGATAAAATAGCTTTGGCTAAATGGTTACACATACACTACAGCTCAGAGTTATCAGCCAGACCAAACCTGACCTGGTAATGGGCAGCAATCGTGGGGGTTGTTCTGAAAAGCCTGGTACCCACAGCACTGAGCTGTAGACTTAGTAGCTACTATTGCATGTTAATATACAGCAAATATCTGACAATCTAAAGGGATGCCAACCTGCTTCTAGAGGCAGGCCAAACCTTAGGATATGCTGGGTATTTATTTATGGATAAGAGAAATGCAAAGCAATGCAATAAACAAAGGTGCAAATGTGTGTACAAAACACGTCATAAATTTTTACTGCCAAACCAAGAAGAAATGAATGAAAAAACAAAAAACAGTCAAGTAATTTATAAAAGTATCCCTCACCACCCAAGAAGGCATAAGTAGCTTGAGTATTATGAACAAAAAGCAGCTGGTATTGTTAGGCTGGGAAATGCAAAAAAACAGGGGTAAGTTTTTAAATATGCACCTATATGATGCCTCACCATTAGGATCCGTTACAATCATCATAATTGTCATGTCCACAGCAAAATGTTAAGGGTCTAGAGCCATCTGATTAAGAATTCACACAGAACTAATCTACTTGAATAATTCAATATATATTTTATTCACTATTTATACAGTCTGGAAGCAATGGAACGTAGTCCACAAGTGGAATACTAAAGCACTGTATTAATGCACAGACCAGGGTAGAAGAATTCTAAAGCTTTTAAAGTGGACCAAACTCTTGAAATTGTTTTATTAAACTCATTAATTTGAATATGTAAAGAGCAGAGGTTAATTGGTAAATGAGACCAAAAGCCTCTTTTAAGAAGCTATTCCAATCGTGTTGCCTGCTAGTGCAACCTCACCTTACTGCATGGTTTAACTGGATAGAAGGTAGAAATATGGAAGGTTAATTTTCATAGCACTTACCATGGAAGTACAGAAGGTTATTTTTCATAGCACTTACCATTAACAATATCTCCCTCCTGCAATGGCCTCCTGTCAGGAATTCCATGACAGATCACTTCATTCACTGATGTACAACACGACTTAGGGAAATTATAATAATTCAGAGGGGAAGGATAGCAATTCCTTGCGATACAAGCCTAATTTAGAAAACAGAATTTACACTTTAGTAAGTTTTGAACAAAGAAAAAACATATGCACAACAGCTTTACAGTAGTAAGAATTACAGGTTGAAAAGCAGTGGCTCTTAAAAATAAGATTCTTCAATCACTTTTTGTCATCATGGTATCTTGTTATACTTTGCATTTCTTAACAGGAAGAAAGTAAAACTACTTTAATTTTGTTTCTACCCATGTTCAACTACCAATGCTGAAATATTCAGGGTTAAAACAATGCTTGGCAATATTTATTTGGTTAAAAAACCAGCCATTTTTGATTACTGTTTTTAAGCACTTGGTCTAAGACTTTAAATATTTTTGCAAAAGACGCAGGCTAGACAAAATAACATTTAGCCCTTTCTTTCACCCCAAGCCTTAAATTCTTAAGCTACTTCCTTTGCACTCATTCCAATAACTTTTGGGGATTTTTGAAAACCTGATACATGCATTTTATATATCCTTACATATACACAATGTGACATAGTGAGCAATTCTGGAAGAATAATACTGCGTTCACTTTTTTTATTTTTCCTTTTTTAAAACTGAGAGTACCAATTAGGCATAACAGTCAGTATCAACAATCTGCCATGCAAAAGTTTCCAAAAACTGCTGAGGAGGGATCACTCCACTTGAACTTCCAGCTGTTGATATTGGACATTATGCATAAGCAAACAATCTAGTGTTTAATGCAGCTCAGAGGAAACCCCTGGCCTCATCAAACCAGAGTACGTTCCTTACAATCTCGGCTCAACAGCTGCAAATGCAGATAAGAAGAACAGCAACCAGAAAGCTCTCAACAAACTTAACTATACCAAAATCATTGCTTTCCCCACACAAGTGCACACAAGGATCCTCAATTATCAGTTTACATGCCTTACAGAGAAGACAGCAAAGTAAAATAAAAATTGCACAATTCAAGTATGTAGGAATAGTTAAGCCAGGAAAATACTTGAACACTTATTTCAAATACTTCACTGGACTGTGGCCATAGTTTGCCTGATTGCATCAAACATCTTGTTTCAATTCTCCCTCATGCCCCTCAGTTCTGATTCCCAGTCATAAAAAATTTAAACTTTCTCCTCTGTATGTCTTAACCAACAACACAGAGCACAGAAAGACCAGGGCCTACATATGACAGTCTTGATATAATGGTATCTGTGGAGCAAAAAGGGTTTAGAAGAAATAAAATCACATGATGTTAGCCAAGAAAACAGGTGAAGCAACTTAAGAGGGAATCTGAAGCTGGAAATCATAGAGAGAGAGGCCCAGAAGTTCCTGAGTTCTGAATCTTCCACTGCACTGTAACGTATTTCTAACATCTGGACTGCCCAATAGCTTCAAACTGGGAAACAGTTCAAAGTAAAGAAAAGGAATTCACGCAACAACAAAGAAAACCACACAGCCATCATTGAAAAAACAAAGAAACAGAAGAAAGCGCTTATAAACACCAGAAGAACAATAAAATAACCTTACTAAATGGACAGCGTGATCAATTTCTTCAGTAGTTACACCTGCTTTGACCATCATGGCAGCAACATCCAATACTTCTCTAGCAAGCTGCAAAAGAATTGAAAGTACTGATTTAAAGTAAGACCAGGGACAGTCCCTAGAAGACTAACAACCCATTTTCTACAGCTACACCGAGATTGCTATGAAAGCTGGGGAGACTTGGGCTCTAAAAAGACATCAAGATGTATACCGGTTGTATTACTAAGCCACCTCTGTGACATTTAAAATACCTAATTAAGATTTGGACCACAATTTCTCTGAATGCCATAAACTTAAATCAGACTTCCTAGATACGTTTGAAAGTGTGACTTTATGCACAAGGAAGTTACTACAACCAAACAGCTCTTTTTCAAAAATTGTGAGGGACAGGGCTGTTTTGCTTTTGCTTTTTAGTTTTCACTTGGTATTAACTCTAGGAGAGCAAAAAGTTCTGTTCTCAATTATGCACTATAAAATCTATCCTTAATAGTAACGTTTCGGCCACAGATTATCTCACGAGTAACAACAAAGCCAGAAAACAGATAAAAGTCATCTTTCTTCTAGCAAAAAGTTTACTGTGAATTGGGAGTCACAAGGAGAGAAAGAGCAAGAAAATACCAAATTTCCCAAACTATTTTCCAGTGATCAAAATGGTTTGAAAGTTTGTACTCCCAAATGCTGTCACAAACTGGTAAAATCACTATACATTTTCAAAGAATAAAGGTGGTTCACAACAGAAAACAAAACCCCCTTACCCTACACACTACTCTCATGCCTTCTATATCTTCAGATGAGAGTATTTTTATTTGAGAGGTTCCTTTTAAAGCCTGTTCTGATTCAGACATTCCTGAAAAGAAAAAATGGGGAGGAGAAAAAAAAGAAAGGAAAAAAAACATGTTACACGGAGGAGCGATTGCTACACATGTCCAGTCAAGGACATTACTTAGATTACCAATGGCAATAAAAGTACATACTTTTTCACCACAGACCAAAGTAAGTTGAACCCACCAAGTCAGAGCATTATCATCATTATTCAGATTAATTTGAATTCATGAGCCTTCCATAGTATCCACATGTGCTCAGGATGCCTGTTCACTTACTGCCTAAAACCATCATCCCCCATCAGTCAAAACACAGCCTTAAAAATCAGATTTATAAGAAAATTATTTTATTCATTAAAAAGTATTTTTCTTTTCTCTTTAGCCATTTTAGAGATCATAAATAGTAAAAAATAATATTCTAAAGGAGCCATAAAGGATTATATAAGCTTGTGACTATCTCTAGTTATACTACTGCAATAATCAGCTGAGCTCAGTTTCATAGTTGAGCAACCCCCTAAAAGACAGTATTTTGTGTTGTTTAAATATTTACATTCTGTAAAGAATAACTAAAGAACAGCTGAAGATTTAAAAATAATTCTAACAGACTTTATAGCAGCTTCTTTAGGAAACAGAAAAGTACCTATACCGAGATAGAAAGGGGGAAATACTGAAACATATCAAAAGTAAGTAATTTTGAATGTATTCACTTTGTGTCCAAAAGTAGCTGGAACCCATAGCAGTTTTCTTATGGGGGTTGATAACTGCAATTCTGTTTGGTTTTGTTATTTTGTAACGCATTTGCAACAGATACACTGATGTCACTGAAAATGGCTTAGAAGAATTCACCTGTGACAGCCAACTTACTGCTGCTTGTTATGAAGTTAACCACAGGACTAGGACTTGCATGGTTTTTTTTTCCCTTTTCTTCCCTGAATGCCTTTGGACTTCCAAAAAATATTTGTAACCGTTATTTCTGAAAAATCAGTAAGTTAATTTGGGGGAAGAAGAGGTAGAGCGAGAAGAACAGATAAAAGAAGAGGTTCCCTTCTCCACACTATCTCCTTCACGCTTTATCAATTATAACAAAAATAGAAAACAGAACACTCCATAATTGTGATTTGTTTCAAGTTACCTAGTGGATGATCAGCATAATCTGGTCTCTGAATATAACTTGGCACAGGTCTTGTTGGCGTCTAAAAAGATCATATTCAAAGCTGGTTAGGTTGCAAGAACACTAATCACAGTCACAAAACAGAGATTCATGCAGTAAAATCAAATACAATGAAATATCGCTAATTCCACTTAGAAAAAGTTGTGAAGTATGCAAACACTCCAAACCAGTTCCAATTTTCATTTCTCAAAGACTCCCCTGTTACTCTTCATTGCTTTCATATTCTCCAACCTCTAATAGCCAGCTTCACAGCTCTGTAAAAATCAAACTTCTGTGTGTCAAATAAATGCAACTGGTTTTATAATACATTATCCCTGTTATATTACAGTGTTTGTTCGGCTACTTTCCAGACTGCAAACACACTGGTTCCAAATACATCCTTCCTCTCTCTGGTTATTTGTGTCAATCAGCAAGATTGTTATTTCTAATCATCACCCTAGTCATTAGCACGTTTTATTACAGTCTCATTTGCATCAATCCTACAGCAGTCAGAAGACCAAAAAAAGCAAACGTTCAGCCATAACAGTTCCAAATTACTTGGCCAGGGACATATCCAAACCACCCTTTCTCCAGTGACACTAGCAAACACAGCCAGGCTCAGGCTCTGTTAAGGCTCATCAGAGAACAGTTTAACAGACGGAGAAGACTACAGAGAGGATGCCACAAAGGCAGCATTTCTAGCACTGGCCAATTAGAGGAGACACATGTAAATAAAATGACATTATTCCTGTGAAAACTTTGGCTTATTCCATGTACAACCTTGTAGCAATTTAAAAATACAGCTATAACTGAGGTTGTCTTCCAAATCCACCTTTCACACTGAAGGTGTTACTGACCTCAGTTATTTTTCACCATTCCAGGGCTGAAGACAACTGTAACCTCTGTTCCTTCAGCAGAGCTGTTCAGCAGATTACTCACCGAGTTATTTCAAACCATTTACATAAAAAAAAACCATAAACCCATTTATTTAAACTCTGTATTAATTTACCTGAGTTTTTCTGAAACAGACTGCTCCATTATTTGCGAGGATGGTAAACAGCCAGGAAAAGACATCATCTGCACTAGCAGCTGCTTTTTACAGAATAAACAGCATAAGGTATGAGCTTAAACCTGTTACTGATCCATGTTACCTCGCAGGCACTTCCTTCATTTTAAATATGCCAAGAGATAGATCAAGTTGAATCAAAACTAACCACAAGAAGGACGCAGTCATACATGTCCTTGCCATCAGGTTCAGATTGGTTAAGAAGCTTTCCTCTCTCAACTAAAATGTGGGAGCTGATCAGGTCAGGACTGGTCCGTTAGTTGCTACAGAATGCAGGGATGCTGGAGCACACAGTGGCACCTATTGCTTACCAGTGGATAGTGCGGCCTGAGTTTACCAGTGTATCGATAGCCAGACCAGGGGTTTGTGTTAATGTCACCTTCCAGGGTCCAAGAAGAAACTTCACGCTTAGCCTTTTCATCTTCTGAAAAGATTTAAAAAAAAAAAAAAGAAAAAAATTGCAGCAGCAAAATCAGTCCTACTAACAATAAGAACTGTGGAGCCCAGAAGTGACTTAGAAGTACATTAAGTCTATATTTTACCCTTTCTAGCATTTTAGATACTGATATATGAAAGTGTAAGTAGCAGGTATCATTGTGTATTGCCCTTAAATTTTTCACATTCAAAATTCACAACCTGCCAACTCTATTCAATAGCAAACTGGGGAACGTCAGGACAGCAATACTGAATGCAGAAAGGAGAGGAAGTGTAGTAATTATTGAAGTTGCTCTTCATTTATAGTTCTAAAACGTAGCCCTGTGCTTGTTCTCATTCTTGGGGAGAAAGTATGTTTCTACAAAAACACTCATTATCCCTTCAATTAATACTCTGCACTGTGCACAATTAATACTTTTGCACTGTAGATGAATGTTTCTTTGCTGTGATTTCTCTTAGCACTCAGTGACAGAAATGACCTGGGGTGGGAAGGAGGGTCTCCAACTGCTAGTTTCAATACAGAGAGCTGCTACCCCTCCAGATCTGATGGAAAGTGAGGCTGCTGCCACTCCTGCGTTTCGGGACAGGCAGCGCACGCACCTTACAAGATGGTCCTAAACTGATGGAGGTTCCCAGCTCTCTCAGCCTGTGAAATTAATGTGTGACATGGTCTAGAGACTGCCTTTATTCACAAATAACACAATCCTAACAGGACAGACTGAAGGTGTTCACATAAAGGATTGAAGCAAGTAGATCTTGAGCATTACCAAAAAGAAAACTATTTACTCAGAAAGAGGAGGCAAGGGTTAAGAAGGAGCATGGTAGCATTAATCTTTAACTCATAACCTGATAACTTGTTTGTTTTCTCTTCTTATATCTCAGAAGAATGAAGAGATGGCAAAAGGTCTGCCATAGCAAGCCCTAACGTGAGTTCCTCAGAGTCTCTGTGGCTGACATCTGAGCCATCTGCTCGCATGACATTCAGTTTAGATGAACCACTGAGAAGTAACAGCTTAAAAATCCAAAGATTTACTGAAGCGATATTTTCGATTCCCTTGAGATGCTTCAGGAGATGGTTGCACTGAGGTCTTGAGGGCTACCAGAACCAAGCCTGCTCAGCTTGAGTTCAGCAGTTATCCAGGAAGCCAACAAGACCATGGATCTAGTGATATCATAAAAAGATGCTGTCAGATAAACAGCAGCATTAGAGGACTGCACCAGAGAATGACTAGAACTACTAATCAAGACAATTTTATACACCCATGGAGGTGCAAAGTAATAGGATACACAATGCCAGTGTGAACTACGAGACCCCTACACTGAGAAAGGCAGAAAGAGGGAAAACATTTGTAATTGTCTGTGCTACTCCAACCTATTAATCGTGCAACATTTATGATGGAAAAAGGAGTTTTACTGGGTTTTAGGAATGGAGGAGGTAAAT